AAACCATGCTGGGAACCTCAGCACATGTCTTAAGTGCTTTTACACTCCAACACACCTGTTTTATAGAACTAAGAACTCTTCTCCCAAATTGTCCTGGAGTTTGATGTTCCTGTTAGGAAGATCACACCCTCCTTTTTACAGGTGGAGGTAGGGACTGAGCTCTGCAACAGGTCACCAGAAGAGCTGGGACTAGGACCTACTGCCTTGTAACCCAGTCACCTCTGCTCTGCCCACAAAAGGGTGGGACTGAAATGAGGTTTCTTCAGACTGCCAGAAATTTCAGCAGACTCCAGAGATCTCCAAACCTAAACTGTCTCCAACGCCTTCTCATGAGTCCAGAGCCTCACCTCTTCCCCTCTGTGCAGCTGCCAAAACCTCTAGCTTCCTTTCACTGACAGCTTTGCCAGTGCAGCTGTGTATTTTCAGTGAGTAGCACAAGGAAAATTTGGGGGTGGAATATGATTGAATTTTTAAAACCCACAGGAAAATTTTCTGGTTTGAACATATTAGTCACTCAAGTTCAATGAAAGCTTAATTTCTAAAGAGGTTACCTGATGCTACCACAGATGATCCAGAGAGCTGCAGGAGGATGATCTTTGCTATGGATTGCACTAGTCCAAGCACTGAATGCAGGAGCTCTCACTTCACATCCTACTTTTAACCTGTGGGAAAACTGATTTAGTTAGGGTCGGTGATGGATGCCTGGAAGGGTTTGTGTCAGAGCCAGGTTAAATATCAGCAACCTCTGGCTGTAGATGCTGTGCAGAGACCCGCGGCAGCATTCCTTTTTGTGAAACACAGCAAAAATCTGCCTCTCTTTCTCTTCTGCCAAAGGTAGACATTAAATGCAGTTTTATGATTGAGTTATGACGCATGCAAGCCTTTTTTAGAGAAAATAAGGTAATGCTCCAGGTTAACATGTACTTGTCTTGCAGTCCTCCCTTTTCTTTTCCTTGTATGCAGCCCTAAGAGCCAACAGAAAATTGTCTGGGCTTTCTTGGGCATAGAGCTCTCAGAGATAAAAGTGCTAGCTCTGTCAAGGTGCCTGTCCAGAAGAAAAGCCAGCACTGAGGATGGGAAAAAATTCCATCCAGCTTTGACTCACCAGAACAGCAGCTGTGGATCCTCTGGTGTGAAAGCTCACCTTCTGCACCCCACCACCAACAACCTATTTTTTAATCCTTCTCCTTACGCAAGCCTTTAAGTAGTACCTGGTGAACAGAGAAGAGATACAGTATCTGACATGACCTGAACTGGAGAGGATAGCAGTAGAGAGAGTGCAGTTCTCTCTCACAGCCTTCTTAAACTCCCTCCCTAACCTTTTTGTTCCCCTCCGCTCTTCTGAACCAACTCTGCCGTCTCTTCTGCAATTAATTTTGCCTCTACTGTGAAATACCCAGGCCTGCTCTCCCAGTGAGTTTGCACTCCTTTATGTCCTTTCTGGCTGCTACATTGTAGCTTTCGTCTTACTTCTGCAGCATGCTGCAATCCAAATGATGAAATCACCTACTAAAACCTCTCTGGGGTCAAATCCTGCTGCCTCTCTTCCTACAAAGTTGCTATATATTATACCTGAACAGGAAGATCAAGACACTTTTCTTCTTTGCAGTGTGCTTTGGCCACTTGCACTCAGGGTGAGACCTGGCACGCTGACCAGCCGCTTACTTTCTCTTCTGCCTCCCACAACTTGGTTGTGATGAAGAAGAAACCCAGGTGTAAGGGCCCAATGGAAGCCACTTGGATAACTCAGGGTCAGGTCCTCAGGACAAGCTGTGGCTGGTACTTGCAGACAATTTAGATACAGCCACTGGGACATAAAGTTTTTTCTGTCAAGAAGGTTTAGTCCAAAGGCTACTAGTCCCACCCCCTTAGCTCGCAAGTCACTGAAGGTGGAGTGGGGAATGACCCTTCCTATGGATTTGCTCTTTGGGAATCTCAGCTAATAGTGGGAGCAAACCATTACCCTTGAAGGAGTCAGACTTCTGCGCTTGAACAAAACTGGAACCAGAAGAGGCCTTCCAAGGGTTTGTACCCCTTCCTTAGGAGATGATTTTGTTAGAAATAACAACTGAAGTTTTAAATGACGGCTGCTAATCTGATAGACACTAGAACTCATTCCTTTGGCAATAACTCTGCTTCTGCCCTTGTGAAGCCCCCTGCTATGCTGGCTCTCTGCTCTGCCCAAAGGGAAACTGAAGTTGTTTTAGGATGTCACTGCCTGTTTTATGACATTCAGGAATGCAGGGTATCGTGACAACAGAGCTGGTATCAGAGCTGGCCTTGTCACATGGGAAAAACTGAAAACTGAAAATGAGAAGAGTTGAATATTTTTGGTAAGACTGCATATATTCTAGAGTGATCTGAGCACTTTTATATCATCTAGTCAGTTTTTGACAGAGCAAGGAATTGATATATAGCTCACAACTATATCTGTCTAGAGTGGTTTCTGTGAGCTCAGCTTTTTTTTTTTTTTTGGCCTCTTTTTGTGTATATCACAGGACAACTTTTTATGGGGTCCTTTATAGGAAATGAAAGAGAATCAGTTTACATCCTGCTTAGAAAAAATGGTATCAAACAAATTCTTCAAAGTTCAACACATTTCCTTAAGCACAAGTAAAAGCCTAAATGGTTAAATCAATCCCGTCTAATTCAACATTTAGTAAACTCTTTCCTTACTCACACATTCTACTGTTCCCAAGCAGAATAAAGGATTGGTTTATAGGCAACAATGGTGCAGATGAAAAGAAGCAGAAAATGTCCCCTTTGGAAGAATATAAGCACTTCTCTGGAACATTTAGAACAACCTGAGGTTGTTGCACCTCTGGATCACTGTCATTATGCATCTTTTCCTTCCCCCATCAATGTAAAGATTCAGTTCAGCTTGCTGAGGATAGATAAACCTTCTCCCTGTGCAAGCTTCAATGATTGGAAGCAGGATCTGAAATGCCAGCAATCAAAGGTTTTGCAAGATCCATATCAATTGAGCTGTGCAAATAACTCCTTTTATTAGTTTCTTGGCTGAACTGAAAAATTGAGAAACAAATGGTTATATGACAGTGGAATTAATGAATCTTCACTTCTTGGATTTGAATCCTTGTCTCTGAGCTCTTTGCCCACCTCTCTAACCCCTGCTCCCTACACATCCCCTGTGATCCCTCCCCTCCCAGTTCCTTCACTTCCCTTACTTCTCCCCAGATAACAGCTGGGCAGTGGTAGCTTGTACTGCAGTTAGTTCTGAGTTTTGATTCACCAAGGCTTAAACAGTATAAGCCAAACAGTATAAAAACCTGCTGTGCACACTGCAGTGCTCCTTTCATTTGGGGTCACTGGTTTAGCACCCCTTGTTTCTACTGAGCTGCCAATTTTCCTGAAGCTTGTGTGCACATAGTATTACTGGGCATTTCACATCTCTACAGAATTTGGCTGAAGCAGGTCTGGGGTCCAGAAGTTATAACAGAGACAGATAGATTGACAGTGCAGTCACGTAAGCCTTGTTTCCTAAGGGAACCTGCCTAGAAATGCTTTGCTTGAACCAAGATGAAATTGTTTTGTTTTGTTTTCCAAGACTTGTTAACTGCTTGGATTAAACTAAACAAATATGTGTATGAAATGACACTTAAAAATATTAGCATCTTTCTGACCATTTATGCATGCTTGGTTTTAAAAAATAGCAGTGGGTTTATTTCTTTATATATTTTAGAAGAAAAGCATGGCACAGCTAGTCCTGCCTAGTTTGTGTTGGTTTCACAGGACTTCTGCTACCATGATGCTGTATCTTTGATATTCCTCTTCTCTCCCTGTATATTTGGTACATAGCCCAGATGTGGCTGTCTTGTAGGAGAACTACAAGGTATCTTTGAGACTTTTGTTGACTTTTTTAAAAGGTTGCAGTATTAGTCCAAAAGGGTTTTTCTGCTTACCTGAGCATGGTTTCAGGTGCTCAGGTCTTAAGTAGCTTTACTTACTGCAGAAGATCATAACTCCTAAAGAAATGGCTAAGGACACGTTGGCCATTAATAAACAATAGCCTTTTGAAATGACAAGTCTTAGTTTGCCATTTCCTTGAACAGAGATCATGCTTCTGTTTGTGCTTTTTTGTTGACAGATAGAAACAAATACCAGGCTGGAGTCTTCTGGAATGTATTGCCTTGACATATTTAATGATAAAGGTATTTCATTTTCCTCTTTGTGAGAATAGAAGTCGTTAACATTAATAGGATATCCATGCTTGTCAAAAAAAAAAAAAGGACAAAGTTCTTAAATTCATAAATACTTCATTCACTATATCCAGTTTCTCTGAAATTCATTTCCCTTTTCCTAGCTTATTCTACAGTTATGACTAGCAATTTGTAATGTACTGCAGCTGATTATGTGATCCTGGTGTTTGCAGAAACAACATGATCAGTGGGTTTTTTTCTTTTTCTTTTTTTTTCTGGCGGATGGCTTACTACTACTGTAACATTATATAGAAAACATGATAATAAACACATAAGTACTAGAGGCCATGAACACTGTCCTCCTCTGTCTAGATTTAGAGCAAGGAAGTTGTATCATCTATAGAAATGATACAGTTTGCAAAAGTGATCAGTAACTCTAAGCAGAACTGCGTGGAATTCCAGGCCCCTGTTTCATAGTGCCAGCTGTTGAGCTCAGCTGCTGAGATTTTCTTGTAATCGGTTTTCATCTGCTGTTATTCTTAATTTTTACTGCTGAAGCATCTAGGAACCTGGGTGACAGATTGGTACCATACTGTTCTAAGCATTGTGTAAACACAAAACAGAATCAAGGTTCCTGCTTTTAAGGATTATGGATTCTCATAAAATGGTAAATCAGTGCTTTGAAAACATCAGTAATGACATTATCAACTATTACTCTGTTCAGTAAATTATATGTCTTCTTCTCATTTGCCTTCATTTCCAGATCTCATTGAGAAACATTTTCCTTGTGCAGATGCCGATTAATTTTTGTCTTTCTTCTGTATTTCATATAATGCATTGTGTGAAATATATTAGAAGTATCTATGCCATCATTGAACTCTATGTGAACACTCCATGCTAAAGGTAAGCTTTAATGCATTAAGCTTTGCAATATCAGAGTATACAGATGATTTTTAAGGCATAAAAGAGATGCTCACTAAATCTAAGGGAAAATATAAATGTCTTGAAACATGGAAGAGAGTAAGAAGGAGAAAGATTGATAGGTTATAGTATCTTTTATTATTGCTATATTGAAATCCAGTCTTGATGGTATTAAATGGGTCATTATCACACTGCTGGCTGCGTGGTGTCTTTGGTAAATTGAGCTCACAGAGTAATTCCTGTTAACACGAGTAGCCAAACTTGATACTAATTGCCAACTTTGTTGCCATGCTTATGCAGAAAAAACATCTCTCTTGCCCCCTGGGCAGGAGTCAGGCATAACGCCAAGGTAGCTAATTCACTGCTCTGAATAGAAGCAGGTTGAATAGAAAGCTTTGGTCAGCAAGGATGCTAATCCAGTTCCAGTCATTAAGCATCTTTGTGTAGAGAAGTGATGTTATGTCTTCCAAGCTGTTAAAGCAGATTCACAGTTATGTGCATACTTTCTCTATTACAAATATCAAGCTCATTTGAGCTTTCTGTTCAGAAATTTGGCAAAGGAGAGACAAGGCTGGGTGGCCACGGCAAATGAGAGGAATCATTTCTAGACATCCTATGTCTGCCTTCGTGAATGCATAGAAAGTATCTGTTTTGGGAAGATGTGTAGTGTTTTTATCCACCTATTCAGTTTCCACCAGTACTCCCAGTGGTAGTGAACTCCCATACGGAAAATGCCAGTGAGAGTTTTAGAGTGGTGATCTAACCCAGCTGAGAAGTGGCTGAACACATGTGTCTCTTTGGTGCCACAGCATTGATAACAGTGAATGGGGCTGTGAAACAAAGCAGTGCTGTCTCTGGGTTGGCCATCAGGGCAGTTAAAATTGAAGGGTGTTCCACAGAGATGGGGGGACTGGGCTGCTTCTTCTAAAGGAAGGAGCGTGGGAGCGCAAAGAAACACCAGAGCTCACATGCAAAACCAAGGCAGCTGAGGAGAGGGTAGTGAGCTGCATAGTTGAGCTGGTGGAAGGGACAGAGAACCACTGTCCTATAGGGAGGTTGTCCCCTTCTCCCAGCCATGGCTGCTGTTCCTATTTCCCCAATTCCTCCACTGGCTGTAAGAGAAAATCCAGTAGGGGCAAAGGAACTGTGCTCATTTCGATGTTTTGTGCGGACATGCTCTTTGGCAACATCCTATTTGGCCTGTGCCTAGAGGAAGTGCTGTGCTCACAACAATGAAGCAGACATCAGAAAGTTGTACCCACAGTTCACAAGTGCAAAACTGATTCTAGCAGCTGGCAGCAGTGCATGTTCTCTCTGCAAACTGAATGAAAATATATTCTTAATGAATTTCTTCAGTTATAAAGGCCATTTAAATGACATATGACTTTCAAAACAAAGTATTCTACGGGGCATATATATCTCTCCCCACTCCTATGTTTGCTTTTCCTGCTTTGGCATCTGACATTAATGTCTGCCATTGGACATCTCAACCTTTGTATCTTTCTCATGGGAGACACAGATCAGAGTGTTTAAGCTTTGTAATTTGGTATTGCTGGCATTTTTTGTTCCCCACAAATGTTTTCTGTGAAATTAATGATGTTTAGCAAGTTTTGGAGGAAAAATCATTAAGGACAGAATCCAAAATAACCTTACTGATCTGAATTGCTCTCTGAATGAACTCTGGGAGGTTTAAATTAAGATACAGCATCAAGCCTTTTCATTTGTCCTAGAAGTGAGGCTATTTGCAGATACTATTTGAAAGAAATAAAATGTCAAATACTTCAGACAAAAGCTTCTAGATTTTTTTCAGAGAAGGGATGACTATTGATCAAAAATACGTTCTGTATGTTCCCAGTTTATGAAGACATATTTATTTCCAAGACCTAAACTGCTTTTTATTTTTACAGTCTTTGTTTGAACTGAGATCCACATTCATTGTTACTGAGGTTTAATAATCTAAGGGTCACTTGAAGGGCTTTTGTTTGAGAGACCTTTCAAGCCAAGCCAAGGCAGCAGTTTAGAGAACGTTTCTTGTTTGTAGACAAAAATATATTAAAACAACCAAGGGAGCTATTACTCTTCCACATAATTATTTTTAATGTCTCATTGGACATGTATGAAATGCCTTTCAGTTCCTGTGGGAGAATTACTTTTTTGTTTTGTTTTTACATTTTGCAGCGTTGCTTTTGTTAAATTTCTGTGTGACTTTTCTATTGAGCAATCTTCACCCCACAACACTTTATAAACATGAACAGTATCTCTAGGAATATGCTTCCAATATAGCCTACATAGCACCTTGAGATTTATCAGGGGTCATAGGGCCCAATACCTTGCATACTTTATGCCACCTATTTTTTCTGGCCATAATCAAGGAAGAACATGGCCATGGTTTCCAGCAGGGAAAGTGACAGAACAGCTGTGAGTCCAGGACTGCATGAGGTGAGGCATGGCCATGTGCTGCCCCAGCCTGTGTTAAAGGCAGGGGA